AGTCCAGTCTTGCTCATGATGCGTGTTTGGTGATGCGTGTCAAGGATAGGTGCGGGGGTCACGCATCACCAATCTTGGGAGATGCGTGATTGGTGATGCGTGGTAAGGATAGGGTCGGCCTTACTACTGGTACCGTCTACCGTAAGCCATACCTGGTACTGTACAGGCTGAATCTAAACTATCGAGACAAACGCAAGCCCGATCCCGTTAAGACATTCGAATGCGAACCGGAACCTCTTAGAACGTTCCTCGAAAAGGCTTAAGGGACATATCGCCTTAACCTTAATATCTACTGACATCACTCGGATCGATCGAAGCCACTCGTATGGTCCTCTTCTTTCATTTTATTTGGGATCGATACCTCTATCTTTACTCTATCAAAATGATGCTTCCTCCTCTTCTTTACAGCGGCTACTCCTCTTAACAAAGGCTACTACTCACCACCATGACAGGCTCCTCTTGTTTGGTTAGACTGGAAAGCGGAAGTGGCAGCGGCAGCCGTTCGATCGATCGGCCGACGGATCGATTCGGTTTTTGACTTATTTTTTCTTCCACGGAGCGACCGCGACCATGACGCCTCCTCTTCCACAAGCAAACGGTCGATCTAGCCAGCCGACAACAACCGGCTACTACTAATGCAACAATCGAAAGCGACGCCTCGACAATGGCTCTGCTTCTTCCGTTCGAGTGATCGACCCGAAGACCTCTACGGATCGGAAGGGAGCCTCTTTGACGGAGCGACCTCGACGCCTCTCTTCCATGGAACTGCCGTAAGCCTCAAACAACAAGCGGCAGCTAATTTACAACTGCCTTGAGTGATCGACTGACTACAGATGTGAAATCTGCTCAATTTTTGCCATGGTTGAGCCAACAATTCCCCTTGAAACTTTGAGTTGGGTGCTCCAGTCTTCATCCAAAGCCACACACTCATCTACCATACTCTAGAGTGAAGATTGAATGCTGAGAGTGAGGACAGGAGCACCTTTCCCATGGAGAAATGCATGGCAGAATGACAACAAAATGGAATCCAAGCCTGATTTTTCATAGAGACTCAATGGCAAACTTTGGAGATGGCCTATCCGGCTCAAGTAGAGTGCCTGTGAGTGTGTTGGGGAGCTAGTCCTCTGACCGGATAGGCCAGAACAATGTATTGGTAGAGCTAATGGCCATTTGGTCAACTCTGTTGCCATGGTGATAAAATTCAATTTATTTTCTTCAATCTTTTCTTTCTAGGAAGTAGTCATTGCTATGCAGGATTCGCGAAATAACCACTTCTGTTGGAAATGACCGCTTACGATTTCGGTTTGGCCAAAACGAGAATCCATTTTTACACCTGTCAGCGGTAAAAGAAGTCATCCTGTACAATTGTACCACCAGTACCAGGTAAAAGGGGTTGATGGGCCAATGAAAATGCATTTGAGTTTGTGTGTTGTGTAAAAGCACTCGGGATCCTCCCCTTATCCCTAAATTGATCTGGGACACGAGCGCTCCGAGCGTTGGTTTTCGACGAAAAGACGGGCGAAGTCGTTTCGAGGGCTCCTCTCATTCTTTATTTTGCATGGGTTCAGCACTCTTCTTGCTTGCTTCCTTTGAATCTTCACATCAACCGAAACTATCGCATTGCATTGAGCCCTCTCCGAGTCCATGTTCTCCCGTCGCAAGAAGAAAGCCAGTCCAACTCGACGCCCTCGTCGCGAAGTCCCTCACCACGTAATGGTGCTCCAACAGAAGAAGAATACTTTGACAACGCGGACGAAGAAAACCAACAAACAACGATACAATGACGATGGCTTTGTCGACCTCGCGACAAACATGATAGACTTTTGCTGCCTGTTCTTTGGCAGTGGCATTTGCATCTACTACGACTTTTACCGAACCTGGTTCCTTCATCTTCTCATGATCATGATCTCGCTGGTGATTCTCAAGCGGACTTGGTGGTCTTGGAACACTCTTCGTCGAAACTGGAAAGTATGGAAAGCGTCGACGACGAATGACAACGGGCTACCTTGCAACTTGAGCGTCACCACGGACGACGGAAACAACGCGGTTGACGATCCCAATCGCGTCCTTTTGGAGCCTCATAACGATCAAGCCACGGCACCCCTTACCGAGTGCTGTCGACTTAGTATTTAACAACATCAAGCGACGGACCCAGCATTGCTTGTATGGACGATGGAACGCGCATATATGCATTGGTGTTGCACCAGCACGCAAAAAGAGTATAGGCAGCCTCTCTAAACTACTATTGTCAAGTCTTTGAGCTTCTCCGTTTAATAAAACACGTAAGACCATCCAGCAGACAAGACCCATGTACGTTCCTTCTTGTCCAACCAGCTTCGGAGACCAGACTGGTGAACACCGTAAAACCGCATGTCCAATGATCCCACCTCTCTCCAAGGCTGCAATGCCGTTGTTACGAGACGTATCGTCCACAACTAAACGCGCAACCTTGTTCTCCTCTCAGTTGCTTAACATTCGCACCTGGGATTCTTTTCAAGCAGTCGCAGCAAGTAGCAGGCGTGGGGTTGGATCATTGTCCTTCTATACGAGAGCTTCATTGAGCGAAAGACTTACTGGTACCGGTACGTGCGAATGTGCGAATCTTTGGGTAAATGACAATCTCCTCTCAGTGATCTCTCAACCACGATGTCATCATCAGCTTTGCATCAGATTCTAATAGCTAGCCAGCTGGCCATCCGTTTGTTGTGGTAATTGGAAAGTTACTATGGGTTAGAGAGAGCTAAGATGAGGATGGGGACAGAGAGGGGAGGGCACGATGCAGGAACGCAAGGCAAGCAATCAAGTGCGCAAGCAGGGCAACATGGAAACCAAGGAAAGGGGGGAAGGCAGGAGGGCAGGGAGGAGCGAAGGAGCAAGACTAGCGAAAGAGATCGAGGGCACCACTGAAAGGAGGTTCGTACCATACCGGTACACCAAACTACATGTACAACATCTACATTGAAGAAACCATAAGTAAGTCCTCCAATGCTGTCTTTGACCTTGCAGATTTCGTGGAGGGGCCTCAAATTCAGGTGATAGGCTGTACAGTGTAGTACGAGAGCTCAGGGGATCTCAAAGCAGTCTCAGAAGCTGTTTTTTGTGGAGTTCTCATGTTCATGGGTATACATGCATGTTCCCTCAATCGCTTGGGGTGTTCTCCTGGCTCAACACACTCATCACCTGCATGGATCTGGTCTTCGACATCGGTTCAATCATTCTGTCTCCATACCAATTTAGTTGTTGTGTTCTCCAGAGGCGGGCAGCAGGGCTCCAGCCGGACATGCAAGCAGGTCTGAGCAAACGAACCGAAAGAGGAAAGGATCACAAAGATCCGAACACGACCAGGGAAAGCGAATAGGTGGGTGAAGACCTGGATAACGGCGACAAAGCAAACGATGGTGCTCTCAGACAAGACAGAGAAAATGCTGAATGACATCAGCAATGCCATGATGGACAAAGGAGCCATCACATCTGTTGGTAAGGCCTGTGTGGCCTTTGTTGGAGCGAATGTGGTTTACCGCGTCTCACGAAACCTAAAGAGAGATGCCCACGGTGGCACTTTCACTGATTTTTTTGCGGGTGGCTTCAATATCTTGTCCAACAAGGAATCTATCTTGTCCCGCGACAAGGTCAAGGACACTGTCGACAGCTATGAGAGTTTGTTTGATGGAGTCCACAAGGAAACTGGCAAAAGCAACAGTGATGACAGTATCAAGAAGCGAGAAAAAGAGTACAAGACCATGGTGGACAGCTACTACAACTTGGTCACCGACTTTTACGAGATGGGCTGGGGACAGTCTTTCCACTTTGCTCCTCGGGTCAAGGGCGAAACCTTAGTTGAATCCATCAAGCGTTGCGAGTACTATTTAGCCCTCCGGGCTGGAATGGGCCCAAAAACCAAGGCCATTGACGTTGGCTGTGGTGTTGGAGGACCCATGCGCAACATCCAGCAGTTCACCGGATCTGATATCACTGGTGTGACCATCAATGAGTATCAGGTCAAGGTTGGCAATGAATATTGCCAACAAAAAGGAATTGATGACAAGTGCCGTTTGGTGCAAGGAGATTTCCAGAAGCTGAATGAAATCTTTGAGCCAGACACCTATGATGTTGCATTTGCCATTGAGGCCACTTGCCACAGTCCCGACCGTGTCCAGTGCTTTTCTGGCGTCAACAAGGCCTTGAAGAAGGGTGGTATTTTCGTTGGCTATGAATGGATTGTGCTGCCAGAAGGTGGATTTGACAAAAATAACAAAAGGCACATCAAAATCAAGGAAGGTATCGAAGTTGGAAGTGGATTGCCTACCCTTGCCACCTCTGCAGATATTGTCAAGGCACTTGAAGACTCTGGATTTGAGGTCCTCGAACACTTTGATGCCAACAAGGGTGTTCACAGACCCAATCAAATTCCCTGGTATGATACTTTGAATGGCACCTATACAATCAAGGGCTTCCGGTCGACTCGCTTGGGACGACTTTGCACCCACATTATGGTCAGTACACTTGAATTCCTATGGATTGCTCCCAAAGGAACAACCCAGGTCAGCACTCTTTTGAGTGCCAATGCCCTTGATCTTGTGGAGGGAGGCAAGGATGAGATCTTTACACCTTCCTATTTCTTCATGGCGCGGAAGAAGTAAGACATCCAAGCATGCAGGAGAAACAGGTGGCAAGAATTCTTGGTTTTCGTTTCCTTTTTCCCTTTGCCTTGTGACTTGGTAGCAATCTACTCAGACAGGAGGTTGCCCAGGGTTTCAGCTCACAAGAGAGAATCACTTGAGTTTAGCAATACTAAAATAGCAACAAACATCTAAACAACAAATAAAGAAGCTGTAGATGGACCAGGAAGGAGGAAGATCCCGACCCAGACGAATTTGCAGAGAAGCGTGTAAGGAGAAGGCAGGCGAAACAAGAAGTGCCAAAGTCCCCACCTACCTTTGGACGGACCAAACAATCAAGACCTATAATGGGTGTAGGACTGAAGACGACCACGAGACGCTGGACAAGGCTCTGAACACATGATTGCCCAGGTCTATACTGCTCAAATGGAGACGGAGGATCTTTCATTCGTTCAGGAGCTGGCTTAGGAAAAGGCACCCCGATCATGCGAACAAGCTTTGTAGAACCCTTGGGTTTCAAGATCACTAATACATAAACTGTCGTCGGGTCAAGCATTGTCGACGCAAGCCCGTCTGGAAACGAGCGCCGCTGGAGAGACTCGGCCATTTACTGAGCCGACCGTCTCCGCTACCCAGGGGTGCCGCTCGTGATTGCTAGAATCCCGAGCGGGAACCAAGGCACGAATGAGGCAGTCCCGCGGGATGTGAGTC